TTAGTACAAGAAGGGCGACCCTTAGCCTATCTCAGCAAGGCGTTAGGCACTACTCGACTGGGTCTGTCAGTATACGTAAAAGAGATGCTAGCAGTTGTCGAGGCTGTACGGTGCTGGAGACCTTATCTACTAGGTCGGCGATTTCAGATTGTTACCGACCAGCAACCGCTCAAGCATCTGTTGGAACAAAGGATAGTTACCCCCGAGCAGCAGAAGTTTGTGTCTAAACTTATGGGGTTTGACTTCGAGATAATCTATCGACCGGGTCGACAGAACGCAGTGGCTGACGTGTTATCCCGACGAACGGACGTGGCCGAGTTAAATGCAATCACGGGGCCTACTTGGGCCATTTGGGAAGAGATCCGGAAGGCACAAGCAGAGGATACCCATTGCCAGGAGTTGCGCCGATCAATAGAAGCAGGCAAATCAACTGATATCGACTACGAGCTGCATAACGATCTACTTCTACACCGAGGACGAGTCTATGTCCCCGATAGTGGGCAGATACGCGAGCAGATCTTGCAGCATTTCCATGATTCCAAGATTGGAGGTCACTCGGGTATTTATCGCACGTGGATGCGAATAGCCAACACCTTTTTCTGGCCAGGGCAGCAAGGTACCGTCCGCGACTACATAGCACGATGCGACGATTGTCAGCGTACTAAGTCTGACTCACGACGGCCAGGTGGGCTGTTACAACCCTTGCCAGTACCCGAGGCAATATGGGAAGACATCACCATGGATTTCATCGAGGGCCTACCAAATTCTAATGGGTTTGACGGTGTTATGGTTGTGGTGGATCGTCTCACGAAGTACGCTCACTTCATACCCATTACCCATCCTTACACCGCAAAGTCAATTGCCAGGTTATTTGTGGAGTATGTGATGAAACTGCATGGAGCACCTCGATCTATCGTCTCTGATCGAGACCGGATTTTTATGAGCAGTTTTTGGTCCGAATTCTTCAAGTTGCAAGGGACTAAATTGTCTATGAGCTCAGCC